GTGCATTAACACCATTAGTATATAGTGGCTGGTAGGTCTCCCAGATAATGCCAAGGTTTTCTCGTTTCTCCGATGTTTCAAAAAAGATTTAGAAATATTATTGGATAATTTATACGATAGAACACTAAAGAAAGGAAATTGACTGTTATGCGACTGAAAACCATTAAAATTTTAATGCACCAATCAGCGTATGTAAACATAAGTGACACACTCGGCTGTTGTCCCGTGTGCCACTTTTTTGTTTTTACCATATTTTGACGTCACCTGTGATCTATTATTGAACATACGCACAGCAACATGGAATCTATCTGTGTTTTATAAGTAGCCACTCCGCTATGTTCCATTGGAAACCCGCGAATCTGATTGGTTCTCTCGTCGTTTTCTATTCGCTTAAAAATACACAAAAAGGTTTTGTACTGCAATCTTTAAAGGGGCTCAGTCACGCTATTTTGAATTATTTTGGCCACATACAAGATTACCTTTAAATGGTAGGAAACCTAAAAATAACAGTTTAATAAGATAGAAAACACCAAAGAGATAATGATAAACCATAAAGGAACGAGGATGGCTAAGGATGGAGAAGATTTACACGGATTACAAACGACGAATTTGAAAAATTGAGGCTTAATTTTTCAATATGCACAAACCGTGACAGAGCCCCTTTAAGAGTGTCTACCAAAAAAGTCATGGGAGCACTCGCCCTCGTTTCGTACGAGAGATAGTCAACTTGGCTTCGCTCATGGAAAACTCGGGCTTAACTTAAGCAAACAAAGAAACAAAAAATGTTACTGACGTCATCTATACATGATACATGTGTTCTCTGATAAAGAACCAATCAAAATGCAAGAATGATTTTACTTATTATATAAGCACCTTGTAGAAATCTGGAGCTCATAATGTAATTCCTTGTTATTACGTCTTTGTAGTATGAGGCCATTAACCAGGCTGCCTGTGATCTTGCCAAAGAAGTAGCCAGCAAAGGAGACGCCCTCGTAGCTGGAAACATTTCACAAGTGCCTGCTTATCTAAAGGGACTTGGAAAGGAGGCAGTTCAGAAAGAATTCAAAAAGCAAACCGACATTTTTGTGAAAAATGATGTCGATTTTCTAATAGGGGAGGTAAATACGCCGTACTGTAGATGTTATATTTCGGGAGTAATTCAACAACCATTATTTTTTGTCAGGGTGAGAGGGTTGAGGGGGGTGGGGGGTATAGAGTGGGGAAGGAATCGAAACCGGATTCTGTGTTTTCGATTTTGCAGGTGCTTTGATAATCTACCATTTTATTACGTTTTGTTTCAGCTGAAAACCTCTATGCCATCAATCAATCAATCGAAAAGCACAACAAACGTCCTTTTTGATACCCTAGCTATTAACTGAGACCTGAGTCTTAAATCAATACCGTGTTTTAGACCATTGTTTAAGGGTAATGTTTACATGCTTTTATCTGGTAGGAAAACATACCCAATTCAAGACTGGAGTGTTAAAACTACACCCGACTTGAGACCTGCAAATACCTACGTAGCCCATATAAGGGAGTTCTTCCA